TAGCAGCTAATACTACGAGAGCACAATGAGCAACCGCTTAGGGGCCCTATTTTCTATAGAGGCCTTAATTTTTCAATGTTACTTTATATTTTTATAATTGAGACTATTAAAATTTTTAGTTTTATATTTTACCTTTATAATTGGGGCCTTTAATTTTTTCAATTACACTTTTTACCTTTATAATTGAGCCTCTGATTTTTTCAATCTCACTTTCTACCTTTATAATTGAGATCCATGATTTTTTAATCCCACTTTTTACGTTTATAACTAAGGCCCTTAATTTTTTCAATCTCACTTTCTACCTTTGTAATTGAGGCCCCTAATTTTATCTCACTTTTTACATTTATAATTGAATCCCTAATTTTTCAATCCCACCTTTTACATTTATAATTGAGGTCATTGGTTTTTTCAATAACATTTTTACCTTTGTAATTGAGTCCCTAATTTTTTTCAATCTCACTTTCTACCTTTATAATTGAGACTCCTTTTTAATTGAGGTCCCTAGTTTTTTTAATCTCACTTTTTATGTTTATAACTGAGTCTCTTAAATTTTTTCAATATCATTTTCTACCTTTGTAATTGAGGCCCCTAATTTTTAATCTCAATTTTTGCATTTATTATTCATACCCTAATTTTTTCAATCTTTTTTACATTTATAATTAAGGTCATTGGTTTTTTCAATCACACTTTTTACCTTTATAATTGAGCCTCTAATTTTTTTCAATCTCACTTTCTACATTTATAATTGAGATCCCTGATTTTTTTTTAATCCCACTTTTTACGTTTATAACCGAGGCCCCTAATGTTTTTCAATCTCAATATCTACCTTTGTAATTGAGACCCCTAATTTTAACTCACTTTTTACATTTATAATTGAATCCCTAATTTTTTTCAATCCAACTTTTTACATTTATAATTGAGGTCATTGGTTTTTTCAATCACACTTTTTACCTTTATAATTGAGTCCCTAATTTTTTCAATCTCACTTTCTACCTTTATAATTGAGACCCCTTTTTAATTGATGTCTCTGATTTTTTTAATCCATTTATAACTGAGGCCCCTAATTTTTGAATCTCACTTTTTACATTTATTATTGAAACCCCTATTTTTTTCAATCTTATTTTTTACTTTTGTAATTGAGGCTCCTAATTTAATATTTTTTTCCAATTTATTAATATAATATTAAATTAATATTCAAAGTAACAAAATACACTTTCATTCCATAAGGGCCTATTTTTTAATTTCACTTAAAACCTTGAAAATGTCCAAGACGATTCAACCTTTTTATGTTACTAAGACTTTACCCTAGAAACATTTTTTCAGTTAATATTGTCTAGATGACATTGTTATCCATATTTATCAAGTTGAATGTACTTAAATGTTAGGTTAAATCACACACTTACTCACTAAACTCTACTCTCTCTCCTATTTCACTCACCGTATTTTCAATTTTTTCAATTTGCTCATTAAATTTTAGATATTGAACTTTTTTTGTCACTCTGCCATTTACTCAGTAATGGGGTGCTCATGTGGCTTATTTTAATACTAAAACATGCCACATAGAACTTGTAATTAAAAATATAAATTACACGTTTACTCACTGAACTTTACTCTCACTCTCTTTCCTATTTTACTCACTATACTTTAAATTTTTTTCAATTAATATAGCAACGTCATAATACCGTTAGAAATTTAACGGTAGATTGACAAAAAAATTTATCTAAAGTTTAATGAGTAAATTGATAAAATTAAAAGTACGGTGAGTGAAATAGGAGAGAGTATAAAGTTAAGTTCGTAAGCTTGTAATTTAACCTAAATTTTAATCTCTTAACGTTAGGCTTTAGAATTCCAAAACAACTGTGTCGCATGCAAGACTGCAAATGCCAAGGAAAGGTCTGTTGGAGGAGACAGGGCCAATAACTCCCTCACACTAACAAGTAATGAGATGAAATGAGACCCACACTCACTTAACTCTCAGTTTCAACTCTGTTTTTTTTAAGTAGTCGTACATCTCTCAGAAATTGCAGTCACTTTTTGCATACTCCTTTACGTACGTACAACCAAAGCAAAGAGTTAGATTGATTGATCAATGACTTAAAGATCATAACCTGTTTAAAGATTTTTTTTTAAATACCAAAGGCAAAAGGAATGAGAGAGATATGATGGAAGAGACGTGAGGTATGATTCTGAATTTGTTTAAACAAGTCATATTAAACATCATCAAAGACACTTCATTAAACCCCGAAACAAGAGAAGAAGAAAGAGGAAAACAGTTGCGTGCATGTCAGATGGTCATGGTTTGGGAACATGGGAGTCAGTGCCCCCACCCAACCTGCCCGCTCGTGGAGCATAGTACACACTCTGTAATAAAAGACAAAGGATTAGACAAGGAGTGACAGTGGAGTTTGCTTGACTCGTGTCGTCTAGGCGCCATTGGTACCGTTTAATTCGTGGTCGTACGGTTGCTTAGCCGTTTTTTGGGGGTAAAAAGAAAAAAAATAAAAGCTCTCTCTCTTGGGTTGTGCCTTTGTATGTTTATTATAGCAGCTGAGTAGGCGTAGTAGGGGAGGCAGAAGGCTTTGTTGAAAGGTCAGGGTCATACGTCTGCAACATTTTCCAACTCTCACATGCAACCCTTGTCTTGTCAAATCATTTGGGAACCCATCATCATCACCATAACCCTACATCTGCCCCTTATCTTTCATTTTTCACTATGAAACTTTATATTAAAAAAACCCCATTTTTCCTCTTTATTTTAACTTCGCGCCCATTAATTTGCATGCACGACTTCCTTTACCAATTAGGGAATTACCTTTTGTTGTTCGAACAAAAGAAATTATCCATTTCAAAGTTCATTTGAGGTTATTCAAAGATATTTTAAAAATAATTGTCAAATAAATTAATTAATATTTTTATGTTTATTTTGTAGTAGATTATATTTAAATTTTGTCATTGTTTTCTTAAATATTTAAATTTAATTTTTTTTCTTTTATCATTTCACTCAACAATTATACTAACTTCATTTACCAGTTTTTAACTATTTGTTTGACTTAGTTTTGGATAAAGAGATTGATTATTTTGAAGAACTATTATTTTTACGTTTTTTTAGTACAAAGAATTATTTTTACTAGAGTTTTTATTTATCCTTTTAATTTTATATTAAATAAAATTTATGTAATAGTTTATCTTTATTTTATATTAATATTACGCTAAATTATGAGTATGATAACAAATATTTCACCTTTTTAAATAGTATGAGTTAAACTTATTGAATTGTTTTGGTATAAAATCAAATTGATAGGATGTATATTTTTTTATTAAGTTAAGGTGATTACAAAAGTATTATTTGTTTTATTACTCTAAATCATTTAACAATGAACGCTCAATCACCTTACCGCAACCGCTGATGCTCGAACTCTTGACATCTAGGAACAACAATAGTTCCTTTAATAAATGAGATAAGTTGATTCGTGCATAGTTGTACATGTTTTAAGTACTAAATTTCTTATTGTACCAGACCACGTCACTATTTTATTTATATTTAACAACAGATTGGTAGATTTGTAATAATATTCTAGCTAAATGGCATGTTTTTAATTTTATAAAAAATTGTTCACCTATTATCAAACTTAAAACTAACTAACCTTGAGCCGTAGTTTACCCTTAATGTGAATGTACAGAAGGGGAGCGTTAATGATTAAGTAGTGAAAAATATAGTTGCAGGTCATACCAAAGAGTTTGATACCATAATTGACAGAAAGTAAGAATGGAACTCAAGTTTTGAAGTCTTGTTTATAAATTTACAATCCTAAAAAAAAGGAGCAGTTAGGTTTAAAAGTGATGTTTCAGCCATCTCTTTATTGCCTCTATTAAATTTGGACTGGAAGTTGGTGCACTGAAGTTAGGCTTATTTGACTTGCAATTATTCACCAATTACTTTTCTACTAATAACCTTGCTTATTTGACTGAATTTAAAGGGGGGGGGGGGGTTCCCTAATTTCCAAACTTTCTGTCTGCCTAATTTATTACTTGTGGAGTTCCCCACTGTCAGATGATTTTTTCTCTCTCCTTTTTCTACAACTTTTATTAAATAATAAATTTTTTAATATGATATATTTTGACATTTTAATTGTATTAAATAATATTTTATATTATTATGGATAGGCCTGAGTAGAAATTTAAAAGAAATAATTGGATTGCCTCGTTATTTAAATAAAGAATGAGACATTATTTTAAACATGTATTTAGCATTGTTTACATTAAGTGTTAAGTAGCTCCCCACTTACTTACCTCATTCAACATTTTTGCTAGTTTTGAATGAAGTCAAATTTATCAAATTCATTGAAAATTATAGCTTTTTTTTTCAAGAGTGGCATGAGATGGAATGGGAAACCAAGGCTTTCAAAAGAAGAAGAATGGGAAGCCATCAATCTAGAAAACAAGTGTGAGCCACACAATTCCCATCTCATTATGGAATGGTTGGCCTAATTAGTGGGGGTCAAAGTTCATAGGAAATTTTAAAAGTGGGCTTGAGAAAAACCCAACAAATCTAAATTCCAAGTATTTCCAAGGTTAATAAAATATAAATTTAAAATTTAGGAGCCATGATATAATTTATAAATATCTAAAAAGAAAAATAGATATAATTTATCTAATTTTATTATTAATAGAATCCTTTTTACTGAGAAAAATATTATTAGGTCGTAATTATTAATTAATTAAACTGAACCATGAACAAATATATAGCAACCTAATAACTCATCCCAAGAGAGAAAACAAACCCTAACCATAACCTTAAATTGCAAGGGCCTTGACCATGGGCTCTGTCTTGAATCTGGACCGGAGTGGAATTATATTAAAATTCAAAACGTAGAGTTTCATTACCAAATTACTTTTTTACGATATGTAAATTGTAGACTCCAGTTTCTTCATTTTTTTAGTTTATATTTTTCATAATTAAAAATTCTACAATTAGAAACAATCAAACTAAAGAACAAAGATTAAATCCACAACTTAAGCATAGTACAATAACCAGCAACAAAATTTAACATAACTGAGAAATTTAGAGGACCGCAACCAATAAAAACATATGTCCACCGAGGAAGGATGTATACAATGTGATTGTGAGAGAGTTCGAAGATGCGGATCATATTCTACGAAAATGCCCGATGACAAAATCAATATGGCTGCCGCTCATCAAAGAAGAGAAATGGGTAGAATTCTTCACTCTAAATATGAAAGACTGGTTGCACAAGAACCTGGCCAACCCTACCTATTTTCCAAGAAACAAGGAAGCCCGGGACGTATTATTTGGAATGCATTATTGATCCGGAAAATATCGAAAGATAATCAATAATCGAGCGAAGTCGAAGACCGGTGGCAGAAACCGAAAGAGCTGAGGCAGTGGCGCGAGATATTCGAGCCAATGCAGGAATTAAGCCTAGACATGAAACGAGTTGGACACCGCCGGCAACAGGTTGGTCAAAGATAAACACGGATGGGGCGAGAGTCGAGTAATGAAATGGCTACATGTGGAGGATTAATTAGAAACATCAGAGGTCAATGGGAGATGGGTTTTCACGAGCAGATTGGGGCATGCTCGGAGCTTGAAGCTGAATTCTGGGGAGTTTTCGAAGGGCTCACGATTGCATGGGAACTGGGAGCAAGGCAGATCATTCTAGAGGTTGACAACCAAGTCTGGAAAAACATGACCCGACTGGACCACTCCAGCAATGTAACTTACAGTTAAACACCACATTGAGGACCTGATAGCTAGAAATTGGGAAGTGAAGACGATGCACGTTCACAGGGAAGGCAACAAAGCAGTGGCAAAACTGGTTCCAGATGGGGTAACTAGGTGCCGAAAGCTGTACACACCCGCAGCAGAGATACATGAGAACTTGAGAAGGGTGCTATTGTTAGAGTAATCCTTTGAATTGTCCTTTTCACAAGAAAAAAAAAATTGAATTAGAATACAGTAAGTCAATAACTAAATCCAGAATTTACACACAATAGAACTAATAACAGAACTTTTTTTTAGACAGGGTCTAATAAGATCATATCCAGTTATCTCTACCTATTGCTTCTCCTTGAGCAGTAAAAAGGGAATAATGGTAGATTAATTAAAATTAAGCATATACAATTTATCATTTTTCTTATCTTATATATGATCTATAATAGTAAGTTGTGAGCCATGTATTGGAGTTATAAAATAAAAGAACACTCTTTTCTCAGTCTAAGAACATTTTTAGTTTAATTGGGTAGAATGTGGGTCTCCAAATCCAATATCGTATGTTAACATTTTACTGAAGATTAAAGTACTTTGTAGAGAGAAAAATGCTCATTTACTAAAGCCATAAACTGATGAAGGCAAATAAGGAAGAAGCATGACTACGCCTAAACAACATAAAATACAGCTTTCCCCCTAAAGTTTGCATTTATACAAAGATGATACACAAACATCTCTTATGGCCACTACATTTTGCAAACTCCACCTGCCAATACGTGAGGTGGTATATTAAACACAATAAAACTCTAGGTGCATAACTGGAGGAGGAATTAAGATCGAACTAATTTCGGTAGCAACATCATTGGCACCACCAAAGTAACTCTGAACTACTACTACGAATAATACAATAGAGCCTCACCAGCCAATATCGGCCGACTTACCATCTACCTGTCCGCCAGCGATACACCCATGAAATCAGTACTCAGAAAGCCATATCTGTTTTCTTTTCCCGGATTCTGGACTCCAGTTGCAGGCAAGTGAGAAAGGGGATAGCACAAAAGGGACGATACAAAAGTGTGAAAACAAGAGGGTAAAAGAGATAAAGGTAGACCATCCCATTGCAGGCAGGTGAGAGAGGGGAGAGCACAAGAAAGAAGACACGACAAGTGCGGAAACAAGAAGAGAAAAGGGATCAAAGGAGATTATCAATGGAAAATCTAACTAAATGATGTAGAAAAGTAGCGAGACCAAGGGCAAGAAAGCTAAACTGCTGTTGGAAGATAAGTAGCCACATGTGCATGCAGATGAAGACGAAAAAAGGAAAAAGAACGATGAGCTGTGCTATGAAATAAAATACAGCACATATCATCAACTGAGAAAGAAGAAGGGGCTTATCTTCAATTCTTCTTAGTAATTTAGCTTACTGATCTTGTTTACACTTCTTTTCATGGTCACTGATAATCTTCCCACATAAAGCATCATTCTGCACCTTGAGTACTTTATTTTCAGTTCTTAACTTTGCATTCTCCTCTGCAAGTTGTGGTAAGTTATTGTTAAGATTGGCATTCTTCCTCAATGATGCATTTTCATCTTTTAACTTCTTGTTTTCGAGACTCATTGGATCAGCCTACAAAAAAACACTAATGTGTTAAAAAAAATCTATAGCATCGTATTTAAGCTGTAACATTCATTTGAACAAAAGTCTACCACCATACGAAATCAATAATAATCTTCAGTTTTTGGAGTTTATATAACAACAATATATGGAATTTTTACATAACTTCTAGCATTAGTCTTATAAAACTAATCAAAAAAAGAAACTAGAATTGTAAGAAAACTGTTGAGGGCACAAATGCACATAAAATAGAAACGCGAATTATTATTAGCAAGTTTATGGATAACTAGTTAGAATATTTTCATATTGAAATTCCTTAGCATAACAATGAGATTTGTAGGGTCTTCAGACTAAAACCATGACATCAAGATTGAGTTTTACAATAGTAAAACTGAAACAACTGGGGAAATCATGTTCATCCGGACAGAGCAATCGTACCTGATGTCGTGATTTGTGCCGGAAAAAGAAAATCAGCATTACAGCTATTAGATTTGAAGTTTGTGTATATATATTTGAATAACAATAATGTATGTTATTCTTTATATCAAATTAATAGTGTTATATTTAATATTGAATGGTTATATATTTCATTGTTAGGAGAGACCATCCTGAACATAGACCGTAAAATAGATATGAAAGACAACTTTTTTATTGTTTGTGTTTATTTATCTCAGACAATTAAATCATTCAAAAATGCCAAGAGTATGATTTTCATACATTTAGAAGAAAAATTAAACTCCATTCAATCATTGAAAAAGAAGAGTTCTATTACATGTTTAGTTTTTGTTAAAGATTAAGAAAAACATAATCCCCTCGGTGTTTTCCTGTGCAATTTTGATCCCTAAGGAAACCTAAACCATTCAGCCATGTCTCTTTAAGTTTCTCCAAATTAGCTTTTGTTTTCTTAAGGCAAAAACTCTTTGTTGAAAGCCCTTGTTCAGCCAAAACTAAACAATAGAAAGCCACCATTAGATTTAGATCAAAAGATCAACTTTCAAACTAGCATTAGAGAATAGTTTAGCCTTGAGAAGGTACCAACATCCATCGGTGTCACCTGATCCGTGACATTAAATTAGCCTAACACATTATAAATGGTATAAATGCACAAATTTAAAGTTAAACCATTACTCTAATATCACTAGTAAATACTCAAACTTTAAGTTAAACTATTATTCTAATATCACTAGTACCCTATGTTTCTTAGATTTAAGAGTGTCAAATACAAATATTTCTTCGACACCAATACATTCAATTCTTTACAATTTTTCATATACTTAAAGGTAGGGGTGAGCAAAACTCGACTTGAAAAATCGATTTTTTCGACTCGACTCGAATTAATTTTGAGTTGTAATTTCATAAACTCGACTCGATTTGATAAAATTTCAAGTTCAAACCAAGTTGTAAAATACAACTCGAATAACTCGAAATTTTTAGTAACTAGTGGATTGTTTTCAAGTTTGAGTTGAGTCCCTCAACGCTGTATCATAAATGTATATCACATATGAAAAACAAATGAAGAAATGCACATGTATTGTATATGGTTTTAAAAAACCATTTAAATTGGAATCAAATAATATCATAATATTATAAATATTTATAATTAAATTTAAACAGAAACTCGACTCGAGAAAATTTCAAGTCTACCTTGAGTTGTAAAATAGGACTCGTCAACTCGAATAACTCGATCGAATGCTCACCCCTACTTAAAGGGTTGGACCTCTATCCCATGCTAAGTAGATATATGTTAGAAATAAATATTTCAATGAAAATGATGTACATGGAGATAGGTACTACAAAGGCCAATATTTGTTCCCACCCCTAAAAGAGATATAGAGCATTACCACTATTTTCTTCAAGCAGAAAGAAAAAAAGAACATTCAATATTTATACTGAGAGTATAAGAAACGGATACTTACTAAAAGGCCCGAAAGTGTTTGCACAAGGACATTTTGCTTTTCATACTCGCACTTAATCTGAAGAAGATCACTCTTCAATTGCTCAATCTCTTTTTCTTGATCTTTCAAAGTTTGATTCATCAGAGAATTAGCATCTTTTAAGGATTCATTCTCTTTCATTAAAGAATCATTTTCTCCTTTGAGGTTCTCCATATTCAATTGCATTTCCATTTTGAGATTCTGTGTAGAAAGAAAGGAAAAAGCGTTATCACTAGTAACTCAAACTACTCATCCCAACCTCCAAAAAGAGAAAGAGATGTTAAATCATTATGTACACTGAGAATCTATTTCTAAAATGTCCGTTTAAATCTCTCACACATACCTAAATTCTAATGCTTCTTCTTTGACCAAATTTGGAAGGAAAACGGAACGACGGATGGAGTAAAATGATAGATGATAACTCATGAAAGATTAGATTCTCAAGTGAAAAGGCCAAAACAGAATGAGATCAGCTAGAATATTTCTCGTTGGACTCAATTTAATTAATGATTAGTTTTTTTTCCTTCTTTTAAAACAACATTTTGGATTTGCAAACTACTATTAAGAGTATTTAAGACTTGTCTATTTGCAAATTAAATAAACAATAATTTCATATTTTTTATAGTGTTTATATAAGATCATTTAGAGTAATACCACACTCAAGTTATCTGAGTAGTTACAGCAGTACCATATTACAAGGAATAAATTAACGGCAAGTATATTGCATGAAATTTGACCCTTTTACTTAAGGCCGAACCCAATTCTTGCAAGAGAAATGAGATCAGGAGAAGGTAAACTCACCTTACACCTTGCCCGATATGCCTGATCTATTTTCCTTTTCCTCTGAGCTCGTTCTGATCCATGTAAACTTGAAACGTTCCGTTTCAAAACTGAACCGGTGGAAATGTCTGGAGATTGAAATGTTTGGGGACTGCTAACATTACTGATCTGGCTTGGGACAACTCCACTGCTTATTGCAGGTTGATTTTGGCCCCGAACCCAGTTGGGAGGATACATTTGGGAGAATATATGATCCCATTCTTGCAGCGACGTAGAAGCTGATTTGCAATCCTGAAAGAGGAAAAAAAAACCCTCAAACTTGATCATCTATGCAATGAAATTGAAACACAGCTTCGATTCATGTCTTCTGTTCTTTTCTGAAAAAAACCCAGAGTCTCAAGCCCTAGAATATCTTGTAAATCATGTGTCTGGGTGTCTGACAAGATAGAAGATTACTAATTTGAAGATTTAAAACAAAAATAGGAGCAGGTGCGAACTAATTTGAGGTAAAAAAAAAACAAAATATAAACAAAGAGAGGTACAGAATTGAATTCATCTGTTTATAGGCAGTGAAGGAACACAGAATCTACGGGATTAAAGCTTAAAGAAGTGTTTACCTCTTCACCATCTTCAGAGTAGCTTTCGGTGGGGCGCTTCTGAGAGTGACGAGGCTCGTTTAAACCCCACGTAATCGTCTGAAACATGTCTTCCATGGATTTGGTTTAGGTTTATCAACCCAGAATAGAAGAGCAGCATTCGAAAATCGCTAAGACCATATAAATAATTAGACAGAAAAGAAAGTTCAACGATGAACTCCAAAGTCGGTGGGCCCGCCGGTCGATAGTGCATATGGAAAATTTCATAATCGCAAAGCATCGCGCGATCTCTTTCTCCGTGTTCGGTTCAAATGGCTTGCGCGAGATTGTTTAATGTATCTTATTACCTATCCTTTATCTGTTTTTAAGGGTAAGCTACAAATATGGTCATTAAAGTTTGTGTATGTTTTTGTTTTATACACTAAACTTTAAAAAGTTACAAATTAGTCACTAACTCTATCTATCTGTAACAAAATGATCACTCAATGTTAACGGACGTTACTAAGATAACAAAATGTTGACGCGGATTGTTAAATCAATTGATTTGGGTTGTCTAATGGTCAAAATAATCAATCAAAAACTTAGGTCTGTAAATGAACCGAACGTTCAACGAATTGTTTTGCGGGAAGTTCATTTATTTATTAAACGAAATAACATGAACAATATTTTATGTTAATGTAATTAGATGAACCAACACGAACAAAGAGCTTATTTGTTAATTTATATTCGTGAACATTCAGTAATTCGTTCGTTTTTGTCCTTTCATTTATGTTTGTTCATTTATGCACGTTTATGTTTGCTTATGTTCATTCGTTTATATTTAGTCCAATCTTCAGACATGTAAATTTTAACCTTAAACCTATTAATATTTTAGAACTCAATTAATTTTGAACCTAAATAAAAAATACTCAAATCAATTAAAGAAAATATAAATCCTAAAGTTATTTGGAAATGAATAAACCCATTAATTTGATGTTCGTTTACGTTTTTTTGTTTATGTCCGTTTATCATTTAACGGACAAACATGAACATGCTAAATTTCTTAATGAATGAGTACGAACAATAAATTTGGTTCGTTTAATTGTTCGTGTTCATTCAATTAAAGTTAAACGAATGAAAATGAGCATATCTTCGTTCGTGTTCATTCAATTCGTTTATAGGCCTACGAAAACCCATCAACATTGTCTTCTTCTTTATAACTCTATTCTCGCCATTGCCATTCCTGCCAAACTTCTTTTCTTCTTCACCACGGATCATATTGTTAAATTGGAATCATGTTGGTAACTACAGAAAGAGAGAAGTCATACTTGCATCGAATAATAAATTTGATGTGTATGCAATTGATGCTTTCTCCGTAGTCAGTGTTGTAAGTAGTTGCTTTATTGATTGTCTTATTTGTTGGAAAAATAACTTACTGCAAAACAAAAGATTAGTACTAACTAGTGAAATAAATAATGTAAATAAATAAAGATTAACTAATATTATTGTGTTGGGTAGTCATTGGTTAACACAGTCTTTCAAATTTCGTACACACAAAATAAGGAAATGGACCTCGAAATAGTGTTGCTCTTTCCTAAAAAAAGGGAAAATATTTTATTTGAAGTAAATTCTACCGGAAAAAGAAAAACTTCACTATGCTTTAGGAAGAGTGAAAATATAGAATAAGAGAGGAGAATGGAGAAATGAGTGAGTTGAAAATGAATGAGAGATCCTCTTTTTATAGCTAAAAAAATGAGGGCATTTAGGTAAAATTGTCAAGAGAAAAATCAGCAAAATAATATCCCAAAAATCTCAACTTTCGCCATTTTCTCAATATTTACATTTTAATTAATTTAAAATTTAAAATTCAAATAAAAATAGATTTATTTTTATTTCTTTGCATTATTATATGTATAACTAACAATCCCTACTAATGCTAAAAGAATTAAAAGAAAAGAGCAACAACAGAATTAACCGCTTAAGCACTAGTATTTGTTAGATTTGAACTAGTACGTAGTTGAATGAGTAATTATTCTCTTTAACAAGTGAACGCATCTTGAACTTGTTAAGATTAGGGTTAACTTATAACACACAACTAACATCAGATATATTTGTGTTATGCGATAGTTCAAAAATTTTGCCAAATGATACCACGGGATGCTCTTAAGTGCTCTAGAAAGACGACCCAAAGTCTTTCATAGAAGGTGACTAATCTTTCACACTTTCGTAAGTGATTTCATCAAGTCTATCTCAATATATACCACCTGAATTAGAGCTATAAAATCATTAAGAACTTTTACTAAGCTCAACCTCTCATTTATAAATTAAATAAATTCATCAAGTCCGTCTCACTAAGACCACCCACAAATGTAGGCTATGAATTCTTTAAGAATATAAAACTTAACCTCACAAACCAGTGTATCCATCAAGTTCGTCTCCCTAGGATCACCCAAGTCCTGGGCTGTGGATTCAATAAGTGTATAAAACTCAACCTCTCAAGTGTACACGATACACTATAGCAATTGGTAGGAGTGTACGATGTGAATTAATCATCTAATGGGCTTAAGTCTCACGCCCTCAATGAATCAAGAATAATTTTTCTACATAACCCTTTAGTTAAGAGATCAATAAGGTTCTTTTCAGATTTTACGTACTCCAAAGCAAGTACTCCATTCTTCATAAGATGTCTCACAAATTCGTGTTTTATCTTGATTTGTCTCTTCTTACCATTGTAAGATTGATTATTAGCAACACAACTTGTAGCTTGTGAATCACATATTATTAGCAACACAGCTTGTAGCTTGTGAATCACATAATAATGACACTAGAGGTGTAGGTCTCCCCTATAAATGAATCTCTGCAAGTATATTCCTAAACCACTCGATCTCTTGTCCAACTAAATCTAGAGCAATGAACTTTGATTCCATGGTGAAAAGGGCAATACACGTTTGTTTTGTGACTTCCAGGAAATAATTGTTCCACATAAAGTAAAAATATACCCACTAGTGGAACTTACTTCATCATTATTAGTTACCTAATTTGTATCACAATATCCTTCAAGGACTGTAGGATGTCCAACGAATTTAAGTTCATAATTTATTGTACCTTTAAGTAATCTCAGCAAACGATTAAGAACATTCCAATGTTCACCACTAGGATTGTGAGTATATATACTTAACCGAATAACATCATAGGCAATATCAAGTCGAATATAGTTCATTAAGAATATTAGGCTTCCAATAATCTTTGCATATTCAAATTATGAGACACTATTCCATCTACTATTTTTAGTTGAATGCTTGGATCATGAGGGGTACTTACATGAACTACATCAAAACTATTAAAACTTTTCAAAACTTTCTCTATGTAATGAGACTGGTTTAACAAGTATCTCTTGTTTGATTTAGTCACTTTTACCCCTAAAATTACATCAACTTCTCCCAAATCATTCATTTCAAACTTAGTGGATAAAAAATCTTTAATCTCTTTAATAACTTTTAGGTGTGTACTAAAAATCAATAAGTCATTTACATACAAACTTATGATAACACAATCAGATCAAAACACTTTAGAATACATATATACATCTGCACCATTAACTATAAAACTATAAACAATAATAGTTTTATGAAAGTTCTCATACCATTATTTTGGAGTTTGTTTGAGACCATATAAAGATTGTTTATATCTTGAAACTTTATTTTCCTTCCTAAGTGCCACGAACCCTAGAGGTTGCTCCATGTAAATCTCTTCATCCAAATCGTCATTTAGAAAAAGGTTGTTTGCACATCCATTTGGTGTATCAACAAGTTGTGAATGGAAGCTAAAGTAAATGAAGTATGAATAACGGAGATTTTAGTAACAAGAGAATAAGTATCAAGAAAATCAATCCCAAACTTTCGAGAAAAGATTTTTACTACCAGTCTTGCCTTATATCTTAATATAGATCTATCTGGTCTAAACTTCTTTCTATAGATCCATTTATTACTTATAAGTTTACAACCTTTAGGCAACTCTGCTAACTCCAAGTATGATTAGATAAAATGAATTATAGTTCATCTTTAACAGTCTCTCTCCAAAAATTAGCATCAATGAAACTAATAGTTTCATCTATATTTTGGATCTTCATCTATTAAAAATGAATTTACTATAGAATAACTAATTGAGTCTAAATCATTAATATCAATTATGAAAAAAGTAAGGAAGTTAGGTTTAAAACTAGTTGCTACCTTTTGTCTTTTACACCTTTTAGGTTCATCATCATTTTGTTCATATCTAGAAGTTTTCCCAGAAAAAGAAATATTATTATCTAATTTCAAGTCATGATTATTGTGCTTTTGAAGAGGAAAAATATTTTCAAAGAATACTGCATCTTGGGATTCACATATTGAATAATCATGCAAACGCATAAATCTGTAAGCAACACTATTTAAAGCATAACCAATAAACACAACATCAATTGTTTTAGACCCAATAGTGTTCTTTTTAAAAGCAAGCAACCCTACTTTGCTAGACACCCCTACACTTTTAGATAATCTAAATTTAGAGCATGATCTTTCTACAACTCATGTGGGGTACAATCTAACATTTATGAGACACTCTATTAAGAATATGATTTATGGAAAGTATAACCTCCCCTAACATATTATCAGATAAGCCATAGCTACGTAAAAGAACATTTATCATTTTTTTCAAAGTTCCATTCTTTATTTTACCTATGCCATTTTGTTGCGGAGTGTAAGGGTCAGCAAACTCTTAAATAATACATTCTTTCTCACAAATTTCTTTAAGAAGATTAGTCATATATTTTTCTCTCCTATCAGATCTAATTCTTTTTATTCTTTAATGAAGTTCATTTTCTACTTTTGCTTTATACACTAAATAAACATTTTCTGCTTAATATTTAGATCTTAAGAGAAAAACTTTAGAAAATCTAGAGTAATCATCAACAAAAATGATATAATATTTTTCCTACCTTTATTCTTTGTGTTTTTAAAGTCTGTTAATATGTATGAACTAACTCTAAAAGTTCAGTTTGTCTAGAAGTAACAGATTTAAAGGGAGGTCTAGAATGCTTTTCTTCAATACATATTTCACATTTATTAAAGCTGGTTTAATCTAGATTAGGAAGCATGTTCATTTGTTTTAACCCTTTGAAGGAGTAGAGTTTCAC